GTGTGTGTGTGTGTGTGTGTGTGTGTGTGTGTGTGAGTGTGCTCGTGCGTGCGTGTGATCTCAATGCTGCTTCTGCTGTAATTGGCTTTTAATAGAAAATTAAGATGAAGTCATTAATCACAGAAAGCGAGAGGGGCCTTTTGTTTCACCCACTCCCCGCTGCATTCTGCTTCCCTTCTTTTCTATTTAGCCTATTATAGACACATTACACACACAGGCGCTCACACAGTCCACTGCTATTCATTCGGTCTCGCTTTGCTGTATGTCCTTTTCAGTTCCGTGCCCTGAAATTAGCCGCTCACTCATTCATCCACTTGATCTCCCACCTGCACAGCCACCTATCCGTACCATCTTTAATCATTTTCTCTGTCGTTGTGCGTCATGAAGGCAACCAAATCTCTTTCCAAATAAAGGATGCATGAAGTAAACCACAAACATTACAGGCCTAGCATCCAATAAAGGAATGCATATCGACTGTCAACTTTAATGCTAGAGACAAAGATCATCTGATGTAAAAGACTCACACTATTGGGCAGTTTTGCAAAAATCATGGGTGATATGTTAGCACCCAGAGTGTATGTTGGAGATGACCCTCAACTACTACCACACTTATTTCAGAGGTGGGCAGTAATGAAATAAATTTACTTGAGTACCGTACTCAACTACAGTATTTGAGAATTTGTGCTTTTTTTCTAAACGTTTTGCTTTTAACAATAAAACCATACAGTACTTTTTACTCCACTGCATTACTCTAAAGGTTTTAGTTACTAGTTACTTTTCTTGTCTGCCATGTTTGTGTAGTGTGTTTATTTTGTTCCACTGACACACTGTAAAATGATACGCTACGCCCCTATAAAGTAAGTGGCGATAGGCAACTTTAAACTGATTGTGAGGAGAACAATAAGAATATATTTTGACTAGTATTGCCTTATAGGTATGCTATAGATGTACATAGGCTACACATGTTTCATCCCTGTTGCAGGTCTTTGTTTAGATCCATTTAAGACTGAAGTTAGAGCATTTAGACGTTTAGTCCCATTGTTCAATTAATGGATTTCTACCAAATACATGTTACATTGGGCCTCATGCAAGAACATGTTCGTATTCTTATCCTAAATTTCTCTTACTTTTGTTCGTACAAAGGGTTCGTACGAACATGTCACGTCA